TATTCTATTCTATTCTATTCTATTCTATTCTATTCTATTCTATTCTAGTTTAGTCTGTTTCAAATAGAAACTAATCCCAAAATTCTGCTCAAACTCCCTTTCCGCTTTTTCAGGAGGCAACTGGACCTCTCTCTCTCTTTCTTTTGAAGACATTTCACTTTTTATCCAAGAAGCTTCATCAGCTCTCAGTGGATGGTGGGGAAGGGAAGGATTTATATTCCTTGCAGACTGCTGGTCATTTGCATCCTTTTAGAGAATCGTTGAGGCCACTTGGAGGTTTGTCTGTGTCCTCAAAGTCACCTGAGTAGTGCTCCTGGTTCCTGTAGTCTGCATTTTCCCCCCTCTGGAAACCAATGTCAATGTTCCAAGTAACACATTCAGAACAAGAAGAACTCTGAGGCAGGCATCTTTCTCAAAGAACAATTTATTGGGACATATCGTATTGGCACGGACCTGGTGAAGCTTGCCTCTAAAAGTAGAGAAAAGTAAAGTCCTACACTTAGGCAAGAAAAACCAAAAATACACATACAGACTGGGTGAAACCAGGCTCAATAGCAGTAACTGCGAGAGGGATCTTGCAGTCTTAGTGGACAACCAGCTAAATATGAGACAGCAGTATGAAGCAGCAGCCAAAAAAGCTAATATAATCCTGAATTGCATTAACAGAGGGATAGAATCAAGATCAAGTGAGGTACTAATGCCACTCTATAAAGCCTTAATAAGACCACACCTAGAGTACTGCATCCAGTTTTGCTCACCACACTATAAAAAAGATGCTGAGACTCTAGAAAAAGTACAGAGAAGAGCAACCAGGATGATTAGGGGATTGGAGACTAAAACATATGAAGAATGGTTACAGGAACTGGGCATGGCCAGTCTAGTGAAGAGAAGAACCAGGGGAGACATGATAGCAGTCTTCTAATATTTGAGGGGCTGCCACAGAGAGGAAGGGGTCAAGTTATTTTCTAAAGTGCCTGTAGGCCACACAAGGAATAATGGATGGAAACTGAACAAGGAGAGATTTAACCTGGAAATAAGGAGAAACTTTCTGACAGTGAGAACAATCAACCAATGGAACAGAAGTTGTGGGAGCACCATCACTTGAAACTTTCAAGAGGAGATTAGACTGCCATTTGTCAGAAATGGTGCAGGGTCTCCCACTTGGGCGGGGTGTTGGACTAGATGACCTATAAGGTCCCTTCCAACTCTGATTATCTGTTATCTGTCCCACCGAATTTTACCTAATTAAAAGTAAAAGTTTTTCCACTTACCCAGAGTCACTTGCCACATGGCCCAACAAGCATAAAGTCCACTTGCTAGATAATCTTTATCACCTCCTTCCTCACACCTGCACAGATGACCTTGGTTCCCAGGGGAAAGAATTTTGTTTTGGCTTCAGCACCCGACTATCTCTGCTACCTCCCGCCCAGCTTTCCCGCCAGCTCCAAGCTGTGTCAACCAAACCTGAGAGCTCAGACAACTTCAGCTGTGACCCCTGCATAGCCCCACGGGAGTCTGATAGCAGCCAATAGAATACATGTTCTTGCACAGGAGCAGGAAGCTGAAGTGCAAAGCCCAAGTGAAGGCATAAATATCCCTCACTCGCAACTCCATGTGGTCAGCTGCCTAGAACCATGTGCTTGGTGGTTCTGCTTCACCATTAAACCATCTTTCCAATCAGCCTCCATGTTTCCAATGTCTTTCTCCCAGCTTGGAAGTGAAGCAGAGGGATATTTCTCCAAAAAACCATGGGTTAGCGATGTGCTTAGCTGTGGATGGGGGTCACGAAACATTATCATCCATGTGTGCATGTGTGTGTGTGTGTGTGTGTGTGTGTGTGTGTGTGTGTGTGTGAATTGCAAGATAACAGACAATGATATGATGCAAGTACACCCTCTTTGAATATGCATCAATATATACTTTCAAAAGGGATGGGTTATTATCACAGTACTCTCTCTGCTATGTTGACCCTTTGGCGGACACCCCTGACATAGCATATTTTTTGGAGTATAAGATGCTCTGAAATATAAGACACACCTAGCATTAAGGGAAGAAAACAAGAAAAAAAATTGCCTCTACCTCTGCCTCCCGGCAATTTGCCTCCTTGCAGCAAACAGCAAAATGCCTGTTTCAGTTTCAGCACAGCCTGATTAGCACAAGCAGCTGATTGCCAGTTGGATCGGCCTCCCAACAATCAGCCGTTTCAGGCTGCAGGAATTGCCATAGCCTATTACTGCCTACGTGCACCACATTTTTGCCATCCGCATCCTGCTTCAGCCTCCGCATGCCCCATTTTTGTCCCATTCTGGGCAGTGGGGATCGGAATGAGCAGAAAATGGGGCTTACTGGGTCAGAAAACAGGGTACGTGGAGGCCAAAAATGGCCTGTGTAGGCCAAAAATAAGGCATGCGGAGGCAGCAATAGACAATGACAATCCTTGCAGTCTGAAACAGCTGATCATTGGGAGGCCAATCCACTTGTCAATCAGCTGCTTGTTCTAATCAGGCTGTGCTGAAGCTGAAACAAGCTGTTTGCTGTTTGCTGCAAGGAGGCAAATTGCTGGGAGGCAAAGGCCAAAGGGTGGGAGCTGGCTGGTGGGTGGGGCTTTAGCAACATTTGGTGCATAAGATGCACAGTCATTTCCACCCACTTTTGCAGGTGGAAAAAGTGTGTCTTATACTCTGAAAAATATGATAAAACATAGTAGCTAAAATTCTGGTTGGCTAAATTTTGGTTCAATTATGGAAACCCATAAAAGTACCCATACTTAAACAATCAAGGATATGATTCAAGGTACCAGTGAATGCACTGAGTGGTCATTCAAGAAACACTGTATCAAAAAAGTTTCCCACTATGTTCAGAGAATATGTTTTATTAGGAATACAGAGAATGGCAGCCTACAAAACTTTGGATCTGGCAAGCTTCCAAGAAAGCAGAAAAGAAGTGATGCTTTTGGAAGCTAAATTACTAGGTTCCTCCATGGCAACACAACCTGTGGGACATCTGAGATGTTAAAATAATCATTTGATAGCTCTTTATGATGCAGCTAAACTTTTTATTGTTCTTGTGACTCTCTGCCTTGCAAAAAAGGCAGACAAACTCAACTGTCACTTTGACGACCTGTTGCTAGCCTATTAAAACCCTTTAGGGAATTGGCATAAACATGTTTTTCTCCAGCTCTGCGCCTGCATTAGCAGCTAGGTTGAATTCAGTGCATTACAGACTTCATCTCTTCTCCTTATAATTACCAAATTACAGTCATTTGCTTTGCTCGTTTCCAAAAGCCAAGCTGGTTTTCAGTTCTGACCCAGGAGGATTGTAACTGAAGCCCATAAACATTAGGAAGCAACAGCTGCATAAAATATTTTGAATGTAGTTTGAAGAAGTTAGTGCAAAGTTATTACCAAAGTGTCTTCTGAGATGCTGAGGCCCCAAGCTGGGACTTAGAGCAACTGGGGAGCTGAGAGCAGAGTGAAACTCTGCTAACTTCTCAAACTTTACCTACAGGTGTACCTTCACAGAGTGGATGAGCTGAAGCTGATTCACGTTACACATTTCCAGAGTCTTATTTTTGCATCAACGATAAGCCCTGTGCAGTTTTGGCTGAACTTGAAGGCTAATCCCCGACAGTCCTCTTTATGGTTCATCACAGAAAGTGGTCACACAGTCAAGATCTACCTGGATGATTGATGTACAGGTTGTCCTCAATGTACAACAGTTCATTTAGTGACTCTTCAAAGTTGCAATGACCCGGGAATTATCACTATTTTTCACACTTACAACCATGTGAAAAATGGTGATAGCATTCCCATGGTCATGTGATCAAAATTCAGATGCTTGGCCACTAGTTCATATTTATGACTCTTGCAGGGTCCGGGGGGGTTTCATGTGATCCCCTTTTGTGACCTTCTGACAAGCAGAGTCAATGGGGAATCCAGATTCACTTCACAAGCATGTTACTAACTTAACAAATGCAATGATTCACTTTACAACTGTGGCAAGAGTCATAACATGGGGCAAACTCACTTAACAAATGTTTTGCTTAGCAACATAAATTTTGGGCTCAACTGTGGTCGTAACTTGAGGACTACCTGTAGTCCTGTTGGAATACAAGTTAGAATGTATTTTGTACTGCAACAACTACAGAATTAGTCAACCAGTAGATGGCAGTGTTTAATACACATCTATGGTTATAATCTATGGTTTTTTTTATATTCTGACAAGAATTTCCTGAGACAGTTGAAAAACCGTTAAGCAGCAAGGCACATGGTGACTGTACACTTTACATTTTATTTGATCTGTATGACCATGTAACCATCTTCTGCTATCAATCTGTATGGTTATTTAATAACCCTCTGCTATAATTTATAAATGACTTAGATGAGGGAATAGAAGAGGAACTTACCAAATTTGCAGATGATGCTAAACTGCAGGAATAGCTAACACCCAAGAACTGTGATAGTGAACCTATGGCACACGTGCCAGAGATGACACACTGAGCCCTCTCTGCGGGGACATGTGCCATCACCCCAGCTCAGCTCTGCCAAGCTTGTGCACATGCCTCCTGCTGGCCAGCTGGTCTTTGGATCTCTGCCACACATATGGGGGGGCAGGTGCACATGGGGATCTGTGAGCATGTACAGGGATGGGGCACATGTGCAGGGTGTGTATGTGCCCAGGGTGGGGTGAGTGCCCAGGGGCAAGGCACATGCCCAGAGAGCATGGACAGGGAGTGGGGGGCATGCACAGGGACAGGAAGCATGCATGGTGGGGCAGGGCACATGCACAGTGTGATGGGGTGCATGCGCAGGGAATGCACATGCATTGCATTTTGGGGGGTTGCACATATGCACACTTTGGGCACTCAGTGCCAAAAAGGTTAGCCATCACTGCCCTAGAAGATAGGTTCAAGATCCAGATGGATCTTGGCAGACTAGAACACTGGGCCATATCTAACAAAATGAAATTCAGTGTCGAGAAAAGTAAAGTCCTGCACTTAGGCAAGAAAAACCGAAAGTACACATATAGACTGGGAGAAACCAGGCTCAATAGCAGTAACTGTGAGAGGGAACTTTGAGTCTTAGTGGACAACCAGCTAAAGAGGAGCCAGCAGAGACAGAGACAGATTTTTTTTCTTGTTTTTCTCCTCTAAAGCTAATTTACGTCTTATAGTCCAAAAAATACAGTAGTCTGCTGATAGTTGATATAGCATCTTAGATATTGCTCCATTAGTTCATTTTTCTGCACCATTGGTACTTGGATGAAAAGCCGAGCTAAGGCCTTGGGAAGACCCAATTGATTTGATGGACTCCCTTCACAATTTAGCTGTGAATTGGACCTCTCAATCCAATATGATTCTCTTTGGTACTCCATGCAACTGGTAGAACAGCTTGGGCAGCTTCTGGGCTGAGGGTAGTCCTGAGCAGGGAATAAAATGAGCTTGTTTTGAGAATATATCCATCACTGTTAAAATTACCATGTTTCCATTGCTGGCTGGGAACTCTACGATAAAGTCCATTACGATCTTCTCCCAGGGTCGGGTTTGGTCAGCTACTGTTTGCAGCAGCCTGGGCGGATTCCAGGTCTGGTCTTCATCACTGCAAACAGTGCAATTCCTGACAGAACTCTCGATGTCCTTCCTCATCTTTGGCCACCAGAATTGCCTCTTTACTAAATGCAAGGTCTTTAGGAATCCAGCCTGGAATCATGGCTCCTCTGGAGGATGAAGGCCCTCAGGGTGCTTGGCACATACAATTTAGTCCCTTTCTATGCCAGTCCAACTTTGCTAGTTAAAATTTGCTGGTGGTCCCTGAACCAGGGGTCTGTTCATGGCTCACTCCTTAGCCATTGGGCCAGCTCATCAAGTTGGCCAGGCCCTGCCTGCTGCCATCTGGTCTGTTATCTCATGAGTGCCTGAGTGGCTGGCTGGGAGGGTGGAATAATGGCATGGACCACCTCCTCCCTGCTACTCTTGTATTGGGGCAAGTGAGAGAGGGCATTAGAGAAAAAGTCCCCCCCGGATGTATTTAAGGGTGAAATTGACTCTATTGAATGCAGCTGCTTGTGGGAGAGCTTATAGGAAGTTCTGAGAGCTCTAAGTTCTTGTGGTCAGTCCACACCTCGAAAGGCACATGACTCCCCTCCAGGTGGTGCCACCAGGTCAGCAGTACCCATCGGATGGCAAATGCTTCCTTCTCCCAGATTGCCCACCATTGCTCCGTGTCCGTGAGCTTATAAAAAGTATAAGCGCAAGGCTGTAACTCCTCTGTATCATTACTTTGAAGTAAGACTGCCCCTACTGCTACCTTGCTCGCATCGGCCTGGATCATGAATGGGCAGTCCAGGTTATGGCATTTCAATATGGGGTCCTCAGCAAACAGTCTCTTTAACTTCTCAAAAGCTCATTGTTAGGGTTCTGGCAATTGCCCTAATTAAATCATGAGTCTCAAGCCAAGCTTCAAAAGATTGATTAGGAGCAACATGTCAGCATTAATCTAAATGAAGCCAACTCTGGCATATGTAATTTACAGTCACCTGTGACTCTGTTTCCCTCTCCCCCCTGGGTATATAATAAATCAGGTTCTCCAATAAAGCACGTTCCCAGGCTGGGTGTCATCAATCACGTTCTCCAATGAAGGATTTTCGCAGGCAGAAGATCCAGTAGCCTACCTAAAATCTTTGTAGATAAGGGTGGAATGTACTTCTTGTTTTAAAATGCCATAATGCTCCTTCAGATTTCCTCCCAGCCGGTTATGGCAACTCAAAAACAGGCATAGGAATGTTTTACGAATTGACATGGGAATTATAATTTATAGTACGGGAGTCATATTTTGAACTCAGAAAACTCAAACCTAACCCTTTGTGTATCTGTTTGCATGGGAGAGGAGGAGAGAAGGAGTTATGAGTGCAGTGTGTCAGCCTTGGAAGCCATATTTTACTTGGAAGCTTCAAGGCTGCCACATTTAGTGCCTGGGAGTTTGGGAAGGGGGATTTTCTAGTGAGTAGAACATTAGACTCAACATCATTCTTTGATGGCAACTTAAAACAGGCATAGGAATGTTTTATGAGTTGGTACTCATTGGCATTCCATTGTCCATTGCAAAGGCTGTCTGGGTCAGGGCTTCTCTACTCCTCTCTGGTTTTTAGTAAGTGTCAAAGTCTTAAGTAATACACCCATCGCAAACAGAACCCTGAGGCAAGTTGGTTCCCCAATTTTATTAGGAGATATCATCTTGGCACAAACTGGTGGAAAGTTAAAAGAATAGGATTCCCCACCCCACCCCATGTGTCTTTTAGGTCACATGGACCAATGAAGTCAGCCACAGATTCCCACTCAGCTCTGACAGATATCTGTTGACATGGCATTGGTTGGTAGATTTTTTGACTAGCAGCTAAGGCACCACATTCCTAAGCTCCCCCATTCCTCCCCTGTGAATGGCAACCAAGAAACGAAGAAGGTGTTCTGACCAAGGTTTATTGAGACACTAACAAACACACGTTAGTTCCAAAATGCTTTTTTCTTTATTTCAATGGCTGTGAATTACAGTCACTCACAGCCTGTAATGAGTCTCAAACAGTTTGTAAATAGTCCCATGGAAGTCTGCCAAAGTCCTTCAGGATAAGTCTCATAAGCATACACCTTTATCTTCCTTGAAATGCTGCCAATGACTAAATTTCCAATTAGTTATACAAGGCCAAATGGAGCACAAATTCAACATAGAGCTTCAGGTTTCAAACTTTGCTTCCTGCAAAGGTTCCTGTCCCTTTGCTCCTCCTTTATGTCTTATGGGAGGGCCAATCACCTCCAAGCCTTACTCCTAAGTCACCCCTTTTGTCTTAACTGTTTTTCCTTCTGGAAGTTCTGCGCACATGCGCACTGGTAACAGGCTCCCCCTGTTCCTCTGCCTCACTGTTGTCAGATTCTGGAGGCTCTAGAGTCAGCATATAACTCCCAGATGGCTCTGGTCCTATCTCTGTATCGGACACAGAAGCATCATCCACATCTTCCCCAGACTCCCAGACTGGCCCATGTTCCTCCCCACTGTCTGACTTTGCTGCCAGCTCTGTAGGCTGCTGGCGGACCACAACAGAAGGAATAAACATGAGAAAGAATGACTTCAGCTGAAGTTGTTTTCCAGGTTGACACCTGGGTTCTCTAAAAGTATTTTATTGGTTAGGATTAGGGTGCCAAATTTTCTAGTGTCCATCACTGCCCATTTTCAAAGCTTGGAACCACATACGTGAGTTCTCCATTTGAGCATCAGTCTGTAAACATGTTAAGAGCCATGGAGGCTCTGTTGCAGGCTGATTCTGCTGACTGCTGATGGCCAGTAGTTCAAGTCTTGATGGCTCAAGTTGACTCAGCCTTCCATCCTACTGAGGTTGGTAAAATGAGGATCCAGATTGTTGGGGGCAATATGCTGACTCTGTAAACTGCTTAGATAGCGGAGGTGGTATTCAGCCAGTTCTGACAGGTTCTGGAGAACTAGTAGTGGAAATTGTGAGTAGTTCAGAGAACCAGTAAAAACCACCTCTGGTTGTTCCTGCCCCCATCTATTCACTGCCTCCCAAGTCCCAGCTAATCTGACTCCCAGATGATCAGCTGGGTCCTCTTTTGTTGCCCTGCACAGGATAATGGAGCTGGAAAGCAGGTTAGTGGGGTGGGGATGAATGGGGATTTTACAGTATCC